GAGTGAGAGGCAGGGCAGAAGTACTGGGATACAAGTAAGCAAAATTTGTTGTGGAAGCATGGAGTTAGCTAACCCAGTCTGAGAGAACAGAGGTGGCTTTCTGGAGGAGTACTCCTAAGTGCAGTACACAGAGACAAATAGGAGTTAGCCAGATGAAGCAGCAGACAAGGGATATCTAGGCAGAGTGCACTACGTGTACATGAATGCTACCTGTGCTACGTGTCCTTTGGGGCACTAAACATAACTGTGACTTTGGGCAGTTACTGCACCCATTTCTTTGTCTATAAAATGGGAATGATAATATTGGTAGTATTTATCTCACAAGATTGTTGATGAAGATTGAGATAATTTATGTAGAGTATCGAGTACATATTAGCAACTCAATCAATGATCGTTCACTCCTCATTAAAGCATTGCAATGAAACAATATTTTCAGATTTAAAAAAATGAATTTAATCTCTCTCTAGAAACAGTGCACTGATTTTACAAATGTCCACATTTGGTTTTTAGTTCACCAAGATGATGTCAGTACAGCTAGAGAAGACGCAGCACACCAGCCTCTGTCCCTTTTTGCCTCTGGAAGAGAAACCAGACTGCAAAGGGCACCGAATACAGAAGCTAACGGAACTTGGAATGACAAGACAAAAAGAGGAGAAACAGTTAGTGGGACCCAACATTCTAATATGCCTGTTATATCAAATACAGTAATTTGGGTGTGTATGTGTGGGGGTAGACAAACAAGTAAAATCCATTTGGGTACAATGTGATGGAGTTTGCAAACCAGTACTTCACTCCCAAATTAACAGCTTGTATAGAACAAAATGCTATTTTAAAACACATGGTTTGTACAGGTATTTTTCTCTTGTAGTTTTTGTAAAAAAGTATCAAAACCTTCATGTTTTTAAATATATATATATATGTACAGGTGGCTTTTCTAAAATTACTTTTTATAGCACAAAGGGTTTGCAAATGCAGAGGGTTTCTGCTGATTCTTGACTATGCACATGGTGCATAGCCTGAATGAACAGAGCTTCCTGATTTCTTTTATTAACTGAAAATTTGAAGCTGTAATTCTTCCACCTCCTAAGTTCTCCATATCCTGAAAATCCCCAATACTTCTAAAAATACAGTGTGATAAGACTCTGATACTCTATCTTCATGCATTGAGGGGAAAGGAAATATTTACTCTGAAAACGTTTAACTGGTAACTCATTTATATTCTGTGAAATGATGAGTGTATGGTTGGAGTTCAGGGGTGGGGTAGGGAGGCTCACATTCCTGTGCCCTCTCCCCATTGCCACCAGTGCCTGACTGGACAGTACTTGGGGTCCCCTCTCCAGACTCCACGTCTTCAAAATTTCCAGTTTTCTTTCTCACTGTTGAGAAAATCTCAGAGGCTCCTGACAACGTGGAATGCTTCTGTGAAAATCCCACTGCCCTTATATTAGTTTTCATTGACCATATCGAAAACTTTGACTCAAATATATGAAAAGCAGTCAGTGTTTCCCTTTGGCCACTGGAAAGCTTGAGGCTGAAGACTATCATGTCTGCAAAGTGCTGGCAATGCATCCTGATGAATTTCCCATGATGCACTTAGTGCCTTGTGTACAATAAATGACCAAGAAGTATTTGCTTAATTGACTCGGAAATTAAATAGAAGTATTCCATAAAGTGCTTACATTGAACCTGTCTTTCCATCCAGCTTCATCTTTTGCTAAGTCTCCCTTGAGCCTTTTGCTCGTTATAATGAATTACATGCAGTTCCTTAAAGTCCCCATGCTGTTTCATGCCTGTCTTAGCTCAGTGTCTCCTCTGCCTGAAGCAGCCTGGACACCAGTACTTAAGACTTAGCTTCAGGTCACTTCTCCTGCAATGCCTTTCTTGACCCCATTCCTTATCTCCTCAGGTAGAAATGACCTCTCCTTTGTACCCTAACATTACCTCGAAAAGAATCTATTCCTTTTTTGTTTCCGCACACGTCTTCCTCTGTTGTTACTGTGAGCTCCATAAGGATAGAAAACCTTTGATTGACCTGTACATCTGCAGTGCCTGGCTCTTAGTTGGTACCTAGCAAATGGTTTCAGTGAATGAATATACTGTAATCACAGAGAGAAAACTGGAGGGATCAGTAGTACATATTGCCATTAATTTAAATCCAATCTCATTCCCAGGTTACAGAATCTCAATCTGTTTTATAAATAATCATGATATCAAGAGTAAATAAATAAAATTTTAGTTTTTCCTGTTTCTGGAAGGCCATTCCAGCCAGTGCCTTAATGATTCCGCTGGAAAGATAAGCCATAAGATGTTCAATGTTCAAGCAGCCCAAAGTAGTCTCCTGAAGAAGGAAAGAAGCAAAGGACTGCGACCATTTCTTTTAAATAGAGAAAAAATGTCTGATAAATTAATTTTCTGTCCTCCTGGCATTATCTCTAAGCTTCCTTCCAGCTCTATAGTCCAATGACTCTATGATCTGTTATTGGCTGTAGATATAATGGCACAGGGCTAAAAGGCAACAGAAATGCAACTACACCTCAAAATAAGGCTCAAAGGCCTCCAAGAATAGGAGATGGATGGACAGAACTCCCCAGATTTCATCTTACTTACTGCCATCCAACACATGAGTATTCCACAGTTGGTTTTTTATAGGTTGTTCCCATAGCCGCCTCTTTCAAACCGCAGTTGTGGCATATTCAGAAAACATGGATGTCTCTGAGAAAGTTGTGTTTTGTCATCATTTTGAGATCTCAAGCTGAATTGTCCTGACTCCATTCATTATTACTTTTTTCTGGGAAGACGAGGATCTGACTGAAAGTTTGGAAACTATGCATGAGTCACTGTTATTATTTCCCCAGGAAATGCTATTTCTGTGGAGGCAGGTTACAGAAAAAGTTGCTTGTTTTGTGTAAATTTCAGTGTTTTTCACTTTCATCATTTTTCTTCAGTCAAAAATAATGTTACTTTCCATTCTTGAAAGAATAGTAGTAAGTGATTTAAGCTCCATAGGAGTTGGACACCTGTTCTTAAAATTCTGTTTGGTATTGGTCATTCTAGGTCACTTGCATTTACCCTCTCAATGACTGTTTCAGGACTATCAACACATGCGCATCACGAGGAAATTGCCTGTTTATGCAAAGCACAGTGCCCAGGCTCCAGAACACAGTTGTTTTCTCAGAGGTTAGGAGACCATGAGTGATGTAGAGGAAGGTCCTAGGAATAGGGTGATAGAACTCCAGAATGTCTGCCTGGAAAAAGTATCATGCTGGTGAGACATCCAAACTTCACTGAATTGGGGGCAGCCGGGGAGAAGAGGGGAGGAGTTTGCTTAACTGTGTCAAGTTCCAAGTATGTTAAGGTTAGATACACGTCCTCTGCTCCTACTTAAGCCAAACACTTCTGTGTCACACCTTGTCCCAGGTTGTCCAGTGGGAGTGAAGTAGCAGAACAGCAGAGTCAAGAAAAGACCACACCTTGCATGAAAGAGCCAGCAGGGACTGAATTCCTTCTGGGACTGTAGGATTACAATGGTTTCCAATGGTAGACCCCACAAAGGGAAAAGAGCACTTCTCCCTGGCTCCCCCAAGGCCCAGGAAAAGCAAAGACAGTGTCCATAATGAAAAAAATCTATACATATACCCAGAGTTTTTCCTTTTATTTATAAAACAGTAAACCAAATCCCTGTGTGAACATATATATCTAATATATTATAATATTGCGTATGCCACTTCCTCTGTCAAATATGACTTCAGGTTTGGTCACTTTTTCTGACTTAAGCCAAAAATTAGTTTCATCTATATGAACACATGATGGTAACAAACCTATGTATTACTTTGAAATGTTTTCCTCACCTAAAGGAAATGGTAGAGAATAAGGGGAAGGGAGAAACAGAGATGTAATAAAACCAATTCCATCATCCTTATCCTCATCCATAGCATATCTCAGAGGACTGCCTGAGCCAGTCCCTAGAGTAAACTGAGGCTGTTGTAGAAATGTCTCCACTTAGCTCTCTCTAGGATGGCACCTCAGGGTGCTCCAGAGGAAACTTACTGAATTCAACTCAAGTGTCCTGAAGGAAACTGAAGTTACTCAAATAGTTGAACTTTAAAATAAGGAATAGCTGAAATGCAGGCATGTTCTCCTTGAGCTCATGAGAACTTCTGGCATTGTGTCAAGTCTGCACACTGGCCTTCGCCAGAGAAGAGAAAGCCCAGGTGGGAGTCACAGCAGCCATGGGTGAGCAGAAGGGTTTTTCCTGACTGACTGGGGTCCCAGGAATAGCCAGAGGTGGAAAAGATCTGTCTCTTCCACTACATGTTTGCATAAACCATGGTATCTGTTTCCTGAGCCAAATTTCCAAAGGCTTTTCTGAAAACCAGATACCTTTTTTGTGGACGGTTTTAAAATATATTTATCTTTATGTATTTGAACAATAGCCATAGGTGCACCTCTCCTCTACAGATTTTTCTCTCTCACATACATACACACATAAACATAAATGCACACAGAGTCCGCATGGTGGGCCAATCATACCAAAAATAAATACTCTCATGTCTCTAAATTATTTATAGAACTAATCTTATTTTTGAAATATGTTAATAAATAATCTAAATGAGGGAGGGAGTTGAAGTGTTTTTTTCTTTTTTTTACTTATGTTGATGGATAGCCACAAAGCATAATCCTTTTATTTACAAAAAAAACAAAACTCCAAAACCTAAAAAAGCCCCCCAAATCAAATACCGTCTGTAAATATAGTTTTAAATGATGAGTAAGCTACTGTACCATCGGCCCCATTTGGTCATGTACATCATGTTAGTCACTCAACAGTAGCCATTCCATGAATTCCTCATGGGTAGTGCAACCAGTTAAAAAGTGTATAAAACATTATACATATAAAAACTCTCACATCCTTTGGATGTTTGCAGTTCATCATAACTTTGTGGTTACCTTTCCGCAACATAAATTAAAAAAAATTACACACACACACACACACACACACACACACACACGCACTCACTCACAGAGACCCATATACAGAAACCCTTTCATCCAGGCATACACCATCCAGTGTATAGTGCATGGGACTTAATTCCATGAGGCACGAAGGGAGTGGTCCCATCCTCAGGGCAGTCCATCATCTTCAAGGCTTAATGCCACTCGCTGGGGAGACAGAGCAAAGAAATCATCATTAGAACCATAGGAGTTATTTATTGAGTACCCACAAGGTACCAGACATTCTGTTACTTTACAGGCATTAGCTCACATACTCTTCAAACTACCCCCAGAGCCAAGTTTGTCATATTTATTTTACAGATGAGAAAACTGAGACTCAATGAGCTTAAACAACGTCTATCCTGGATCACATAGTAAGTGGGTGAACTAAAATTTGAACCCAGATCTGTGTGAATCCAGAGCTGTAGCTTTTTTCATCATTCTGCTCTGCCTCTTTGTAAAGGAGGGCTGCAGAGATCTAAACTTTCTCAATCCTCCCTTATACGATTTTAGGTTTGCTCAACTTCAGTAGGTTAGCTTCGGCAAATGTTTAATCCCAGGCATTAGCATGCTAATCACAATTAGGAAGGCAATCTGCTGCACCCCTCCCAACTTATTATACAGAACTGGAAGGCAGTGCAGGTCAATTAAATTCAACTCCTCTTTCCCTCACCCCTCCTTCTTGTCATTAGATGCTAGACTTCCCTCTGCCACAAACGGCTGACCACTAGAGGGTGAACCCACTAACCCCTGAGCCGGTCTATTCCATTGTGGACAGTGGACTTAAATTCCTTCCTATATTGACATGAAATCTGTTTCTTTATATCTTCTGATGTTCCCTGATTCTATCTCTTAGAGAGTTCTACACAGGCAACCCTTGAAATTTGCAGACAGTGTGTGAATTCCCTTCTCTTCCCTCTTAGTGTTTTCTTCTCTAGGTTCCACATCTAGCTTTCCCCAACTGGTCCTGATGTAATCCTGTTTCCCACTCTTCCACTGCCTGGATACCCTCCTTTGGACAGAGTGCTTCAGTATCTTTCTCATAGCTGTGTGAATTTGGGCTAACCACTGTACCTCTCTCTGGGCCTTGGTTTCATCATCTGTCAAATGGGGGACCTAGCTCATAGGATTGTTGGGAAATCAAATGAGATAATGTATGTAGAGTGCTTAATATAGTATCTAACACACATGGTGCTAGAGTATTCTAGATCAACGTAACCAGCACAAAATAGAACCAGACTAGCATTTTCCATCTCTGGATATTCTACATACAATAAAAAGTAACTCCATTGCCTTTCAGATCATCTTTGGATTATTTGTGGTTTTGCATGAATGCCATGGCCTTGCTCCACTAGCATAGATGTTTGAGACTATCTTCTTCTAGTCCAGTTACCCTCCCACTCTCTTCAAGACAGATCTCTAGGCCAAAGGCAGGCCCCAGCAGTGATGGTGGAGCTACCTGAGAAAGGACAGAGGAGAGAACAGGTTCTTGAGAATACTGATTTCCAGAGCTTCACGGCTATTTAGCCTGTGATATAGTGCACGGGCTTTTGTGTACATACAGACTGGAGTTTGAATCCTGGTTCTGCCACTTCCTAATTGTGACCCTAGGCAAGTTATTCAGTTTCTCTGAGTCTTTGTTTCCTCATCTGCAAAATGGGGCTAATAAGACCAACTTCATAAGGTCATTGTGAAGACTAAATGAGAAAATGTATATAAAACACCAAGTAGTGTCTGACACATGGTAGGTTCTCACTAACTATTGATTTCCTCACTCTCCTGCTCTATTTCTGTGCAACTGGCAGGAGCCTACTCCCTGGGCCTTAGATTCGTCAGGATTAGCTCCTCCTGAGTGGTTATTTCCTTCTCTGGAAACAATGCCACTTTACATGTGCCCAGTGCTTTATAACTCACAAAGCACTCTCACATGTGCTATCTCGCTTGAACTTTATAAATTTAGGAGGCAGATAGAATGGGGGTTATTATTCCCATTTTACAAATAACAGTGAGCAACGGGAAGTGACTAAGATCACAGGGCTGTGGAATAGTGAAACTGGGAGGCATCTCCTTACTCTAAGCTCAATGCTTCTTCCACTGTGCCCTCTCTGATCTTTGAAAATTGGTTAAGCAACTCTATGTGTGGATAAGGATGCTCAAGGCCATCTGCTAACCTTGCTCACTTGCTCAGCTTCATTTCCCATGTCTCCCCTTCATGAATAATTTGCTTCAGCAGCAGTTCAGTCTGCCCTGCCCAATACTTGATCATTTCTTCCACACACCATTTCCTCGGTCTGCAACTAACCCATCTTTCCTCTTTGTTCTGACACCTAGCTTATAGTTTGCAGCCTTCCAGAACCAGAAAGCCTTCTAGGATTGGCTGCACCTACCTGGGTTCACGACCTCACTCACCAGCCCCTCAGACTCAGAGTGGCACTGCCCTACCTTGCACTTGACGACAGGCAGCTCGGAAAGAGGGTTCTTCGGGAGTTGGTGCAGCTGTGACCTTGGTTCCCCCGGCAAGACAAAAACCTCCTTGAGGGCAGGGGCTGGGTCTTCCAGTTCTCTGGTCTCCCCAAGACAGGGCTCTGCCCACAGTGGGTGATCAAAGCTGCTGATTGCCTGACAGGGGGATGGACTGGATGACCTATGAGGTCACACTCAGCCCCCTGACTCTGCTATACAATCATGACATCTACTCCAGCCACTTTATGGTCCTTGTTCCCCCAAGCCATGCCCTGTTGTGCCTCTCAGCCTTTGTACATGCTTCTTTCTGGAATGCCATGTTCCTCCTCCTCTACTTGGAAAACTGCTATTAATCTTTCAAGGACACAGTACATCTGTCACCTCCTCTGTGAGGCATTCCCTGCCTGATTTCCTAAACAGAATTAACAGCTCCCTTGTTAATGTTTCCATAGCATTTGTTCAACAAATATTTACTAGGAGCCAGCTATGCTGTGCTAGGCACCAGGGAAAAATTAATCAGACAATCCTGCCCTCAAGGAGCTCACGGTCTAGTGGGGAGACCAATGAGTAAAAAGACAAGTAGACTATAGTGTGACAAGTGCTGTGATGGAGATAGGCTGTGAGAGAACAAAGAAACCGGGAAAGCTTCCTAGAAGAGGGGACTCCTGAGCTTCTACCATGGCACTTAGCACACAGTTGTACAATAGTAAGTGATTATCTCTCACTCCACCACCAGCTCCTGGGGAGCAAGTACATTCCTTCCTTCCTTTTGAACACTTGATATCTAATGCAGTGCTTAGCACGTAACCAGCATACGGTATTTGCTGAAAGGAATACATTTGAATTGAATGGCCACAGTACCTTTCCAGGCTAAAGGTTCTAAAAACTTACTCAGCTGAAAGAAAGACATTTGGCTTCTTTATTTAAGGATGAGCCTCTAGGTACAAGGTAGTCCTGATACCCTTCTACCCCAACCACCTGCCCCAGCATTTCTGTGTCCCCAGGGCCCAGAACAGTGCCTGGCACATGGTAGGTTCTTTATAAATGTTTGAAGAAGGAAGGAAGGGAGGGAGGAAAGGAAGGAAGAGGGGAAGGAAGGAAGGAAGGAATTCTTCCAGCAGGGAATACTTACTGCAGGATAGACATGGCCAATCTGAGCAGTCCTCCCTATGTGGAGCTCATCCTCGTCCTCTTCTTCTGTTGTTTTCCTGTACACTGGGTTGTCAAAATTCATGCTCTTGGTGTTCTTCCGCTTCCAGTTTCTCCAGATCAGGTAGCCGCTCATGCACAGCAGGGCAATTACCGCTGGAGGAAGAGACACATTACACTGGACCTCCAGCAGGCTCTAGCCCATTGCTCAGACATCAGTACGTTTCTTGCCACCTCTTCATCTTTACTGCCCCTTGTTCCTTAGGCCCTGTTTCTGGGTGTTCTTTTTTTACTGCTTGGAAGCCCTTCTCCCATCTCTTTCTTCATTAACTATTCATCCTTCAAGATCCAGCTCAAATGTGAAGTCTTCCTCAACTTCTTGAGGTATCAGTTGTTCCCTCACCTGCATTCCTAGACCACAGTATTGTCCTTTATTTACGTGTACCCCCAGTTATTTGAGGACTGAGCTCTTTGAGGGCAGGAACTGTGTCTTCTTTATCTCTCTATGCCCAGTGCCTAGCACTGAGCAGGTGTTCAGTAACATATGCTGAGAGAATGAGTGAATTTCTTTACCACACCTTTGCCCTAATGCTGCTGCTTCCCTGGATTTCTCTAAGAAAACCATTCTCTCCCACAATTGGAGGGGGATGGATGGGGTGGGGTGTTTCTTTCCAAAGCTGGGGCTTTGCAAGAAGAGAAGCATCTCTAGAAGGGGACACAGCAGGGAAACACAGGCTCTGAGTTAGAATCAATGAATATATCGATGAGTAAAGGAGAAACTTCTGCCACAGAGCTGGGCAAAAATGGGGCAAGTAGCTTCATAAGATAGTAAGCAGTCACCCTGAGCATTCAAGTGGAAGCTGCCTGATAGCTATCCAGGATGCTATAGAGGGGGTTTCTACTTTGGTAAGATTATAATAATTGATACCCATTAAAGATAGGAAGAAGGCAAGGATGCCTGTTTTCACTTCTATTTATTGTCCCAGAGATCTTAGCTATGCAGTAAGACCAGATAAAGAATTGAAGGTACATATACGGGAAATGGAGAAACTGAACTGTTACTATTAACAGATATTGTGTGTTTAGAAAATCTTAGGAAAGCAGATGAAAAACTATTAGAAGTAATTTTAGTTCATCAAGAATCAACATAAAAAAGTCATAGCTTTCTTATTAATCAGCAATAACCAAGTAGACAATGGAATGGAATAAGAACACATTCATAATAGCCCAACAAAAAACTATGAAATACCTGGGATAACCCACTAATAAATGTGCAAGTCCTATATGATCTATAAAATTCTACTGAAGGACATAAAAGAAGGCTCAAATAAATAGAGAGATATGTCATGTTCATTGATGGGAAGCTTTGATATGGTAAAAACGTAAATTCTCTCACATCAATTTATATATGCCAAGCATAAGATTCCATAATAATTTTTATAGAATTAACAAGATGATTCTAAAGTTCACCTAGAAGAGAAATTGAATAAAAATAGCTAAGAAAATGTCGCGAGAATAATAATGCCCTATTAGATATTAAAACATATCACAAAGTTGTGTTTCTAGTATATAGGAATAGATAAATAGTTGGTGGAGGAGAATAAATAGCCTAGAAGCAGATCAAAGTACATATGGGCATGTAGTTTATAACAAAGTTGACAATTCAAGTCAGAAGGAAAGGAGGGACTATTTCAATAATGGTCTTCGGAAAACCAGACAGGCGTGTAGGACAAAAATAGTTAAATCTCTATCTCACACCATACTCTGAAATAAATTCTAAATGGATTAATATCTAAATACTAAAAAATGTTTAAAGTAGTAGAAAAATATATAGGGAGATATTTTAATAATTTAGAGAGAGGCAGACCTTCCTAAGTAAGACACAAAACCCAGAAATCATAACCATAACCATAATCATTTGTTAATCAAAAGATTAACAAATCTGATACTTAAAAAAATTTTTAAATTTATGCATGGTAAAAGATACCATAAAGAAATTTAAAAATCAAGTGGCACTATGGGAGAAAATATTTGTAACATATATTCCAATGGTTTAACATTCATTATATATAAATTCATTCATTCATTCATAAATTCATACATATATTATGTATAAATATTTCTACAAATAAGAATAGGACAAAGAATCAATAGAAAAATAAGACTGTGAATAGGCAATTCATAAAGGATGTAATGTAAATGACCAACAAGCTTATGAAAAGATTCTCTCACAGCGAAGTATCAGAGAAAGAATACTCATTTTTCTCCCCTCAGGTTAGCAGAAATTGAAAATACTGATTGTATCAGGAAAACAGCACACACATGCCCTTCTGTAGAGCAGAGGAAGGCAGGAAAGGGGTTGATTTTTCTTTCACTAAACTATGCTCAGAGTATCTTCCACTCACTTCACCCAAAATGACTAGCCCTGCTGGTCTACTGGTTAAGCTTCAGTGCTTTCACTGCTGCAGCCTCGATTTGTTACCAGTCAGGGAACCACACCACCCGTCTGTCAGTTGTCATACTGTGGCGGCTGTGTGCTGCTGTGATGCTGAAAGCTATGCCAGCAGAATTTCAAATACCAGCAGGGTCCCCATGGTGGACAGGTCTCAGCAGAGCTTCCAGACTAAGACAGACTAGGAAGAAGGACCTGGCCACCCACTTCCAAAAAAGTTGGCCATGAAAACCCTGTGAATAGCAGCAGAGCATTGTCTGATATAGCACCAGGTGAGAGGATAGCGCAAAAAGACCAGGCCGGGTTCAGCTCTACTGTACACAGGGGCGCTAGGAGTCGGAATTGACTCGATAGCACTAAGAACAAAACTACTCCAAGTAAGTCTGGAATAGTCGCGCTATCATCTTTACTGTTGAAGCGTTTCAGGCCAATTCAAATACCATCCTCTCCAGAAGTACCTCTTCCTCTCCTCCACAGAGAATCGTGCCTCTCTTGTAGAACCTTATAATATGTGTTAACACCTCTCTTGTATCACTCTTTCGTGACTAAGCTGATTAAAGACTGAAAGCTCTTAAAGGCTTTTATCGTTTTCTTCCCTGGTTCCTTGACATAGTCCCTTGCACAGTGTAGAAGTTTTTAAAACATTTACTCACTAACTCACCACCATATTGGGGATTCCCAGGATAAAAGGGCAGAGTCCTTGTCCTTGAGGTACTCATGGGCAAGTAGGGGAGATAGACCTATGAATGGACAATCACAATTCAAAGATTCCGCCAAGAGATGAGACTGGTATGAGAGACGGATGTATAGGATACTGTGTGAACATCAGGGTGGGAGAGAATGAACCAGCCCCCATGGCTCTCTGTTTAACTAAATGTTATATTCTGGCCATACTGAGCTAGTTCCAAACCCAACCCCACCTCCACTCTCCCATGCCATTTCCCATTCTTGGTTTTGCTCCTACTGTCTTTATTGCTTGATCCTTCTTCACATGGCTGCCTCAGCTCAAATATCATTTCCACTGGGAAACCTTCCCTGCCTGCTTCTCTTCTCTCCCAATTCCAAGGTAAGTGCTGCTTTGGCACTTCCACTGAACCACATATGGCTTAATTTTAGGACTTAGCATGTCATAATCAAATTATCTTATTTTTGTGTGTCTCTGACAAGACTATAAACTTTTGGAAGACAAGAACCATGTCTTACTCATTTTTAACCACGTTCCCTCCCCTTATCACAGAGTCTGGTACATCGTAGCTGCTTGGTAAATGTTTGTTGAAAACCAAACAGAAAGAAAGCAAGATAGCACGATTAAAGGAATGGCAAGTAGCTCTACTCATTAATTCAACAAATATTTTATTTGCTACCATGTGCCAGACACTGCTAGGAGCTGGGGAGAGTGGTGAGCAAGAGAGACACCAGCCCTGTCCCCATGGAGCCTACAGTTCGGCTTCACATGGCTGGCGTGCAGAGTGTGAATGCAGGGGTAATGAGAGATGCATCTGGACAGTTGCCTGGGGCCAGGTCCTGAAGGGCCTTATGTGCCAAGCTGAGAAACCAAATTAAATCAAGACCGAGAGGGGGGCAGGAAGGCTGCCAGGGCAGAAAAAGCCAATGGGACAGGTCGTGTGCTAAGTGCTCTATCCTAGTGCTTTTCTCCATACCCTGTGTAGGGTCTCTCTTTTCTTGCCAGTGACTTGGAGCCACACTCACCGATGGGCACGATGATCCCAATGACAGCAGCAGTAACTGTTGAGCCCATCTTGCCGCCTTCATTCCCATCTGCAAAACACAAATATTTGCAGAATGATGCTCCATCACTGTGAGTCCAAGTCCTTGCTGCCCTCAAGCAGTAAGAACTCCCTAGCTGCTCCCTGCCCTCATTCCAAATAATGATCCCGGCTAATGCTTAGTAATGCCATCTTTCCAGATCCTATCAAAACTCCACTGAGGTGAGCAGGACAGAGGTTATCTCCATTTCATGGATGGGGAAATTGAGTCTTATTGGGGTTTTAGGAACTCACAGATAAGCGGCAGAGCTGGGACTCAAACCCAGGACTTGTGACCCAAGTCCCTCACCCTTTCCACAGTATTATGGTGGTAGGAAGCTGGGGCTGTGCTTGGCAGAGTGAGCACCTAGGTCTTTATGTTGCTGACTGACGGGCAGTTGCCCTTTTCATCCAGTATCTGTTGCTTCGTCTCTGTTGTTTCTGGTGGTCTGTCTGTCCATCTACATTATCAGTTTATTTTTAATAAGTAATTAAAATGAGACACAGTATAATGTAGTGAAATCAAGAGCATAGGCTCCTGGGTCAGACTTTTTGGGTTCACATCCTAGCTCTACTACTCACTACTTGTGTGACCTTGGACAAGTTATTATATATTATAAATATTATATTTCTTTATCTTTAAAATGGGGATAATGATATTACCTACCTCCTAGGAGTATTGTGAAGATGAAATAATTCATGTAAAATGCTTACTTGGCACAGTGCCTGGCACAGCCTTGCCTAGTTCAAAGAGGGTGGGGACTGGGGGAGGGGTTGTTGTGAGGCCTAAATAAAATAGGGTTTATAAATGCACATTCTAAATTGAAAAGTGTGTGGAAAGTGTACTGTATTTTTTAAAAAGTATGTTGTACCATTTTTTCACTCTTACAACAATCTTCATCATAGCATTTGTACAGCACTTTGTAGTTTAAAAGGCATTTTTCCCTTGGATCCTCATGACAACCCTCTGAGGCGTGAAGAGGAGCTATCATCTACACTTCCTCCAAGAGAGGAGATGACTGCCCGTGGCAATGGCAAATGCCACCCTCTCAGTATGTCTGTTTCTCCAAGTTACTGTAAGGGAACCTATCACGAAGGGGAGAAGAGAGCTGCATTGCTTACAAAGCTCACTGTGGAAATGCTGCTGTCCTCTCACTCAGGGCCTGAGCAAACATGGACAGCGGTATTAAAGCCTAGAGTGTGATGAAGCCAGTGGGGAGACTCCCTAGTCAGCGGCTCTGCCCCAGATGAGAGGCACTCCACCCTGTCCAAACTTCAGGGTAAGTGCTCAACTCTGAAAAACCAGCTTCTGCTGGCAAGACAGGCCCAACTGGAAAAGTGCTGCCAAGCTGCTTAGGTTGTGGGCCATGCATGTATGCAAAAAATTTAAAAGATAGTTTATCCTCTTAAACTTCCCCTGGCAGGTATCTCAATTAAAAAGGTATTTGGGGGCCGGCCCAGTGGTGTAGTGGTTAAGTTTGCACATTCTGCTTTGGTGGCCCAGGGTTCACAGGTTTTGATCCTGGGCGCGGACCTACGCACTGCTTTCAAGCCATGCTGTGGCAGGCATCCCACATAAAATAGAGGAAGATGGGTACAGATGTTAACTCAGTGCCAATCTTCCTCAGCAAAAAGAGGATTGGCAACAGATGTTAGCTCAGGGCTAATCTTCCTCACCAAAAAAAAAAAAAAAAAAGCATTTGCTGGTTAATGAGACAGAACATTTCTAGCAGTGACAATCCTGCTCCTGATGATTTAGTAAGTGGTGAACTTAATTATTTTCATCCCAGGGTTTGGAAAGAGGCACGAGCAGACCACAGTTATGGATATTATTATCTGGGGAACCTACTGAGGGTGCTGAGAACTGAGACCAGAGCTTTTGAAGTTTCCAAATCTGAGGGACACTCCCTTATACACGTCAGTAACATGTAACACAGACACACACCCAGAGTCAGCAGAGGCTGTGTGCATGAGCACTTCTGTTTACACCGTCTCCTTTGCCTCTCATGGCAATCTTGTGAAGCAGGTAAGGGAAAGGTTATTATTATTCCCATTTTGTAGGTGAGGAAACTGAGGCTCAGAGACAGGAGGTAGCTTCCCTCAAGACCCTCTATAACTTAGGGGCTCCTAAGACTCTTAAATTGCAGGTGGGCACTCTATCTGCCTCTGCTTCCTCCTCAGAGATATCCAATATTCAGCTCTGGTACGATCACTTCTGCCCACAGATCCCCCATGTTGGTTTCCCTAGGACCCCTCCCATGTCACGAAAGAAGGTAGAACTCATTTCCTTACAGTGCTGGGAGTGGTTGCTGGTTGCAGGGCTTGGGGTAGACGGGCTGATGCTGGGAGCCCTGGGGACACTAACTGAGCTTGGGACCGCAGCTGCCAGGCTCGGTGTCTCTGTGCTGTGGTTCTGGTAGGTGGGGCTGTGGATGGTGGTCCCAGGGGCTCCTGTGGTGTCGGCTACTGTCCTCGTCGTGGTAGAGGCTAACGTCGTAGTTGAGGTAGATTGAGGTGCTAGAGGGGAAATACCATGGAGGTCACTTGGACAGAGAATTTTGTGCCTAAATTACTGCCTCTTTATTATACTCTGAACTCATTCTCATGGCTCAGCTCAAATGCCACTTCTGTGAAGCCTTCCCTAATCTTCCTGAGTGGGCTGTGATCTTTTCTCCAGCTGAATCCCAAGCACCTTATATGTGTTTATACTGCATATTGATTTGATAAAGATGAGTCATTAAAACAATGCTGTAGAATCAGGTGTGGGCAAGACCACTGTAACAAACTGGGACGAGGGGAAATTACAGAAATCTAGAAGGATTTTATATGCATATTGTTACATCATTAGGTTTACATTCTCACTCCATTTTAAACAATTTAATCTGGAAATCATAAATGATGCAGCAGACTTAAGCTCAAACAAAAGGCCTTGGCCCTACATAAAGATTGGGGAATGAATATAAATTTATCTGGTTGAAGTATTAACCGACTATTAGTCCCAATCATATCACAAAAGGGCTTCAATGTAGTGTGTTAAGTTCTAGCCGAGAAATAGGCAAGCTCATAATCACCTGCATATAAATAGTCACCTGCATATAAATAGTAACTGAAGCTATGGGGATCAAGGGTTCTCAATTTGAGGTTTCCAAGGGGTTCCAGAAACCCCCTGAAACCGAATTTAAAATGTTGTGTGTAGACATGCATTTTTCTTGGGAGTGAGAAGAGAAAGCCTTGGAAGGACCCTGGGGGACACCAGCATTCAAGGAAGATAAAAAAGGAGCCTGCAAAGGCAACAAGTAGCCAGAGAAGATGCAGGAAAACCAGGAGCATATGGTGTCCCAGAAGCCAAGGGAAGATTTCAGCAGGATGGGGCCTGGTATTGCCAGGGGCCACCCTTCCTGGTAGGTCTGCTTACCTCGGTAGCACCTCTTCATGTCTGGGCCCAGCCACATTGTGTCAGGACAGGCACACGTGTACTTGGGAGAGTGGCTGGAGATCTGAGGGGCAGGAAGGCACAAGTACTCACAGCCTCCATTGGGCTGGGCACTCAGCTCGCAGGCATCTGCAGCTAAAGTGGGAGAGAGATTGAGAGAGAGTTGGGGCACAGATGGGACATGCCAGGTCTTCCCTCCTCCCAAGGGTGAGGCCCTTCTCACTCGGCTTGCTCAAAAAGCTTTCTCTGCTACTTTTATTGGGCCTCTTCCAGCACTGTACCTGGTATTTTATCCCCACACGTTCATTTAATCCTGACAACAACTCTGAGAGGTGGATATCATACCCCAGACTGACAGATAAAAGACACCTGGGCTCAAAAAGCACAAATTTGTCAAAGCTATACCTCTAGTAATTTTGGAGACAATTTAAATTGAGGTCTGTTGAATTCCAAAGTCTGTGGTTTTTTCCCCCTATGACACATACCATGTCTCTTATTTAAATTTCTAGATCTAGAATCAGGCCACCAACTTTATCTCCTTACCCACTATGCTTTCCCACCTTCACCCTGGCAGCCAGCACCTCAGTTATAGTTAGAATGAGTATATCCTAGTGATAGAGGAGGGGACAACCTAGTACTAAGATTCCTGGCTTATATTCCCAAGCAACAGGCTGACTTACTGTATGGCTCTAAGATATGTTAGCTCATACTACTTCAAAATGGGTACAAATGATAAAGGAGAAGCAGTGTGCTCCTTCACGGCAGAAGGACCTCTGGAATCAGACAGACCTAAGTTGGGTTTTAGTTGTGCCACCTGCTAACATTATTTTACCTCTTTGAGCTACAGTTTCCTCAATTGTTAAATGAGAACAGTAAAACCCACACTTTGTAGGATTGGCATAAATGGACATTATATATTTATTTACTTGTACCCAGACTTATTTCACCAAAAGCTTGAGGCAAAATGAAATAAAATATGTGACAGCAAAGCACTCTCCCAGTGAGAGGGATTGTTGCTATTACTCATGAGGGTGCTGAGACATGACATGAACATGAACACAGCCTGCCTAGTGGAGGGAAGGGACATGGGCAGGGGACTTGGGACCAGGGAAGGCTCACCTCTTGGCTGCTTCAGCTCATGGAAGATGACAATGTCATGTGGGTTATTGAGGTTCTCAGCTAGGACGGAGATTTCCAGGCCATTGAGCCGATTTGCACTGAAAATGGCCTCATTCTCCAGATCTGTCCAGAACACCTTGTCCTGTGGGGTACAGATGCAGGGGATGGGAGTCCTAGAGCCTAAACCTGTGACCTCAATCTGAGGGCTCAGCCCCAAACCACAGTCACAAGAACTGCCTTGACATCCTCCCTGAGCTCTCCTATTCACAGATACAGAGTGGGACTCAGCCTCTGATCTGTGGCATAAGCTCTGGTCCCCTTCTGTCTCAGACGGTTCTTCAGTGATTCCGTGCTCTGGCCTGAAGGTTGCTCATTAATGCTGAGCTGGGCCTGCCTCCTGGGGTCCAGCAGAAACCCACGGCTGGGTCTCTATAGCTGTTACCATTACTGGGGCCTGGGACCAAGATTGGAGGGGATGTGTGAGCTCCTGAGGAGCATTCCCTGCTGGGTCTCCTACAGCCTCTGGATATACACACGTATGCATCCAGTGGTTAGCCCATATAAGCCTAGATGTGCATCTGTTGGAATCCACATTTATGGGTTCAACCATGCAGCCTCATACTCAGATCTAGACACATACCCACATGCTCATCTACACATACAAAGGCACACTTGTCTCTAAATAATCACTCGTCTAAGTATTGGTATATGTATTAACACTCACAAGCACCAGCACGTACAGGAATGCACGCTTTTAAATGGATGCATTTATGTATACACATGCACATACATATACTTTACACGTACACGCCACATATATGCACAAGCACATACACATGTCCAAACACACCTGTCTTTTGAAGAAAGGGCTGGACTTGGAGGTGGGCTTTGCCCACAATTTCAGAGTGGTGCTGGGTGATGTCACTCCAAGCAAATATTGTCAATGCCCACTGTCCCCTTGCTTTCCCTCCCCTTAAGGCAGAGTTAGTTTTGAGGAAGGGGTAGGTGTGTGAGAACTTGGTTGGTTCTGGCTTCCTCATTTCCCGAGGAGAAAGGTTGTTAGGGTCAGAACACAGGAGAGTCTTGACTCTTCACCCTCCTGGGGGCTTCTTGAGGACTGGGATGATGTCTGATTCACTTCTATGACCCCAGTGTCCAGCAAAGGTCAGTGAAAGTGTGCTGAATTGAATAGCAACTTTCGGGCCATTTCCTGAGTAAATCATACTAAGGAAATGTATATTCCTTCTTCCCTCCCTCCCTTTATTGGATACCTTCTGTACATGTGGGTATAGTGCTGGGTGCTGCAGGTACAGAGAGGAAACATACATGGTCTAGCAACTTATCTGTGAGAAGTGCTCTGAGAGAGGGTCTTGGGACGGGAGCACAGGAAAGGCTGCCAGGTGGACGACGAGCTGCAAAGCCTTTGTTTGTAGGCAGCTCACAAATTGTGTACAAACAAGTCAGTTGGCTTCCCTGTCCCTTTGTTTCCATTTAGACAAATCTCAGCGAGTCGTCCTATTTGAATAAGCCTTTTCTAAGCTTCAGCTTCCTGATGGGGCCATGCCTCCCCTCACAGGGCTCACCTCAAACACAGCTATCCCAAAAGGGTGGCTCAGGAAGTCAGGGGAGGAAATCAGCATCTTTCTGTTGCTTCCACTGAAGTCAATGCTGGACAGCTGGTGCAGCTTGGAGTCTACCCAGTACAAGCGCTGGTTCAACAAATCTTTGGGAGGAGAAAGGAGATGGGGGATCAGGTCATGAGCCTGGGACTGCAGCCTGGATCTCTGCTCCTCTGTGCCTCTCCCTGCCCACATCTCCAGGCTAGGCCTCAGACTGAGGCCAGCCTGGGGCAACCATCAGGAAACACAGGCACTGGCACTATGAGGGGACACAGAAACAAGACCCAGGCAGAGCTCCACACGGTGGGCAGGACCAGGTGTTGGGAGAGGCTCCCAGTCCAGGGAAGGCAGCTCACCCAAGGTGATTCCGTTGGGCCACTCAATATTGTCTGACACCAGTGTTTGTCGGTCCACACCGTTGAGCCCAGATTTCTCGATCTTGGCCTGGTACCCCCAGTCAGACCAATACATGAACCTAAAACAGAGAAGAACCCAATTGGGCTTCTTGTCAGGGAACAGGATTGGGGTGGTCTGGGTCACAAGGGCTCAATGACCCACTGATTGTTGAAGATTATGCTTAGTGGGGACTGGGAAGACCTCTGAAATCCACTGGAACCATCAAATCTTAGAGCTGGTAGGCACTTTTCATCTGAGCACCTGGGGAAGCCTGTATGCCCCGAGAATCCACCCGGCCTCAGCTGAACAGCCTGTGAGCCCATCTCTTCTGCTTCCGGCAGCTCCAACTAGAGCCCTAGCCTGCCAGAGCAGGAAGGGCCCTTGTCGACCCTCTCTTACTTTCCTGGTCTACAGTGGAGAAAGTAGACGACCTCCCCGGGGTCACACAGCTAAAACTCTGTCCAGGCCTTCTCTCTCTCTTTTCTTGAACGCTTATTGAGTACTTATTAGGTGCCAGGCTCTGGGCTGAGTGGTTTCACCTCACGTACTTACAAATGCAGTGATCACTGCCCCTCTAATCTGTCCCTACAGAACAGACAACATGAGCTTCTAAAAATGGAAATAAGTTGTCACTCTCCTGTTTTTTTTTTTGTAATTGAGATATAATTGACATATAACATTATTAGTTTCAAGTGTACAACATAATGATTCGACATTTGTATATAGTGTGAAATGGTCACCATAATAAGTCTAGTTAACATCCATCACCACACACAGTTAAAATTTTTTTTCTTGTGATGAGAACTTTTAAGATCTATCACTCTGCTGGTTTTAAACTTGACAGCAGCTTCTCTTATTGCCCTTAAAACAAAATCCCAAATCCTTACCACAGCTAATAGGGCTCTGCATGATCGGGCCCCTGCCTGCCTCTTTGGCTGTCTCTCCTGCCACCACCCTCCACCTCCCTTCCAAACGCCATACCTGCCCCACAGGTTTCTCTTAGTTCCTCTAGGGCACCAAGCCTTTCTCACTCCAGGCCTTCGAAGGCCTCTGGCCCCCACTCTTTTCCTGGTTAGTATAAATGTCTTCAGTAGAGACTCTTTCTCTGACCCCTCAATGTAAGCAGGTTCTCCCTGTTATTACCTCCTAAAGCCCCCTGTTCTTGCCCTCCACAGCACTTACACAACTGGTTATTGATGTCTGCATTCGGGTAGTGCAGTGTATTTGTTTACTGTCTGTTTTCCCCACTGGTCTGTAAGCTCCATTGAGGGTAGGCTCCTCGTCTTTCTTATTCCTCATTTTATAACTGGCAGGTAGCTCATGTGTGGCATATAATAGGTCCTTATTTAATAATATTTGTTGAACAAAGTAATGTTTTCATTTTAGCCTCATAGCAGCCACAGGAGGGTATAATTATTAGTCCCATTTTACAGATGAATAAATTGTGGCTCAGAGGGGTTGACTTCCCGAAGATCACATTGTTAATAAGTAGCGGAGCCAGGCTTCAAACTCAAATGCAAACTGGACTCTAAAGCCTGTGTGCTTAATCCTCCTCAAAACTGCCTCTGCTGAAACCTGGTGTCAAGCCAAGGCTGACCCCGTGCTAGGGGGCTGAGTGGTTGTCCTGGATAACTTCCATTTGCCACTTTGTATTTACTCTCTACTCATCTCCATTCTGCTCTGTACACCAAAAAGCTGACCCATGTGGGAATGACATCAATGGGCTTGGCTCCCTAGCCTTCTGGCTTCCAGTTGTGTAGAGCAAAATATTGGAGGGGGAGAAGGAGACAGAGGTCAGTATATTTATCCCCCCAACCTTCCCCTACAGCATTGCCTCTGGCTGGCTAATGCTCTGAAGGTGACCCTCCCTACTACAGACTCAGTACGTGTCTCGAGTGCCTAGTACTGTGCTGTGTGCACCTGATGCATGCTCATTAAATGGCAGCTGTCAGTCACTTCCCAAGGCCTTGTACATCCTCAGGTGGCCACCCTCGCCCCCAGCTGCCTTCACTGGAAGAAGAGGGTTTTCTTACCCCTGTTCGACACTTATGGAAACAGCAGCAAGAAGAAGCTGGTGATGCTGGTAAACTTAATATGATATAGCTGCTGAAAAACCATGCCATCTTAGGACATCCCCACTGAGGGAGGGATGCGGTCCTGCTCTGTTCAGAATCCACTACCCACAATATGGAGGTGTGGCCAGAGCAGGGCATCCTGGGTGGTGAGGGGCCCAGAGACTGTGGGCAACAGAGGTGAGGAGGAGTTCGGCAGCCTGGAGCAGAGGAGACCCAGTGATCTTGGTCCTCAAATCTCGCTGGCTGTCCTGCAGGGCAGGGAGTAGACATGTTTGATGTGACTCCAGAAGCCAATGGAGGAAGTCAAAGGGAGACAGATTTGAGAATATGAGAAAAAAAAAACCTCTTTCCAATGGGCAAAGCTGCTCCAAAATGAATCAGGCCCTATGGGAAGTAATGAGCTCCCTGTCTCTCTGGAAGTGTGTGAGCAGCCACCAGATGCCCACCTGCAGCATGCAATAGCCTGAGGAAAGACTTTCCACTAGGAGCTTCTACTAGGCAATCTCTAGAGCCCTATTCTGCTCCGAGATGCTCTGATTCTACGATATGATGAGTGAGCAGCTGAGTCTCAGGAGAACCCTGGTGACAAATGTCCAAAGAACTCTTGGTCAGGGGTTAACAGGCTGAGGGGCCTACGTGGACTTTCTTCCCTATGGGCTGTGTCTGAGTGGCCCAGAACCTTCCGAAGCCCTCAAGATAGCTCTTGTGACAGACACATGAGGACTGAGCACCTGCAGTGGGAGAATGGCAAGTTCCAAGTGGGGACACTCACCCTTGCAGGGGGTCAACAGCAATGGCCCGGGGTTCACTGAGGTTATGGCTGAAGAGAGTGCAACGGCGGCTGCCATCGACTTTGGCCACTGAGATGGTCTTGTTGCCCGAGTCAGTCCAGTAGATGTGCTTGTGGACCCAGTCCACTGCCAGGCCCTCTGGAGAGTGCAGCTGCTCATCAATGAGGACCTCCTGCTCTGCCGGGTCACTGGCCTTGTCCATGTAGGCGCTAGGAGCAACCAGAGCTGGCCATGGGGCAGGTGTTCCACCCATGGTCTGTCTGGAGCTGCCTGTGCACCCTTCCCCTCTCTTTCTTCCCTCTGTGCCATGGCAGTGGATTTCAGAGGAACTTGGCTAATTTCTGTTCAACACACTCCCTGGGCCACCAGGGAAAGATACAGGCTTGAATCAGCCAGAGCCTCTGGCCTCGAGGAGCTAAGTTTAGTGGGGAATAGAAATGTACAGCCAGATAATTACAGTACAAGATGATTACAGAAAGCATTAGAGGCTATAGCAGTAGAGAAATGGAGACTATATCATCCTGGAGGGTTGGAGAAGGCTTTGTAGTTGAGTCCTGAAGGACTAGTTTACCAGGAACACAGAGAACAGAAAGCAGAGGGAACAGCATGTGCAAATGCCCAGAGGTGTGCATTCTGGAATAGTGAGATATTCAGTGGGGGTAGAGCGGGATATGTGGGATGTAAGACTGGAAGTAACTACAGGCAGGGGCCACATCCTGACAGGCTCTGCATGCCATACTAAGGAGTCAGGATTTTATCCTGGAGAGGGTAACTGAATAGGTCGAAGGACATGGTCAGATAGGCATGTTAGATCACTGTGGCACCCATGGAATATGAGCTGGATTGGAAGGGGATGGAATGAAGGCAGGAGACTGGTTAGGAGGCTGTTACAGCATCCAGCATCCAGGTGAGAGATGAAGAGGGTCTGCAGAAGGGTTGTGCCAGTGAGAATGGAGAGAAGGGGCTGATAATACAGTAGACACTCAGGAGGCAACCTTACAGGACTGCCTGTCTCCCAAACGCTTCTCTCCCACACCCTCTCTCTGGGCAATTTGTTCCACAGTGCCCACTGCCATCCACAACTCTCACCTTCCCATCCCAACAACTCTCTTAAGCTCCAGGTTGGAAAGCCAACTGGCTTGCCTCGGATGCCCCATGGACACCTTGAACTCAACACATGCAAAACTGCTCATCCCCATTCCCCTTCCCTCAGCCAGCCAGGCAGACTGCCCAGCCCCCACTCCACCCCCTCCACTGCCCCCATCTCAGAGAACAGCACCACTGTCCACGAAACCTCCCAAGCCAGAAATCGAAACTCCCAAAGTGACCCCAGGAGTTCATTTTTACTCTTCCTCCTTCAGCCCCATATCCAGTCTGTCATCAAATCCTGCCTCTTTCAGTCACAGCTGATGGACAGGCACTGCTCTAGCTGTTTCTGGGTGTGACTGTGAACTCAGTGTGTGTCTCTGGGTGTTTGGGGTGTGGCAGGCTTTGAGTTGTCCGTGAGGAGCACTTGGTATACTTGCTGCCATCCATCCATCCCATCCTTCTTTTTTTTTTAAATTTTTTTAAATTTTTATTTATTTATTTTTTCCCCCAAAGCCCCAGTAGATAGTTGTGTGTCATAGCTGCACATCCTTCTAGTTGCTGTATGTGGGACGCGGCCTCAGCATGGCCGGAGAAGCGGTGCGTCGGTGCGCGCCCGGGTTCCGAACCCAGGCCGCCGGGCCGCCAGCAGCGGAGCGCGCGCACTTAACCGCTAAGCCACGGGGCCGGCCCAATCCCATCCTTCTTACAACAGTCTAGCCAGAGCCTGTCCTGTCACATGGGACTCAGGTTAAAGAAAGGACATGGCTGCCAGAAGGGGGCCTGAGCATGCAAGGAGGCAGGCTTGTGGTATCTGAGAAAGACCTAGCAGAAAGCCTCCTCATGTGTGTGAGGAGCCTTCCTGAGAGCCAAGGTCCACTGACTGGTGTGAAGGGCTAGATTGCGGGTAGTGCCATCCAGGAAGATTTCCCTGACCCCCAGATTGAGTCAGAGGCCTCCTCTGTACTTTCCCTGCATGATTATCACAGTGGATGTCACTGTGTTATGAGTGGGATCCTCCAGGCAGGATCAGGTTTGAGTCATCTTTGAGTCCCCAGGATCCAACACACGGATATGTGAGCTGCTTTGAAATTCCTCACCAAAGCCAGGGATTTCTTCCTTTCTGCTCTGGCTGAACATTTCCTGTGTCCTGCACTGCCCCACTACGCCACCAGAGGTCAGTCAAAGCCCAGGTGTGTGGGGCTCAAAGCTGCTCTCCCAACTGAGCCCTCAGCCTAGGCCCGCCCAGGGGGTGGAGAAGTCCCAGCAGTTCCATATCCACTGTGATCCTGCATCCCTTCCCAAGCCCCAACTCTGTCCTGGGGAATCCTGGAGGCAAAAGGGGTGCAGAGGCTGCCCTTCTTCTCCTCCTCTGTCAGCCCCTGCCCCCACCCAGGCCTGGATGCAGGACACCTGCCACTGCTCACCTGTAGATCTTGCGGTAGGAGAGGTCACACCAGTAGATGCGATTGGTGGCAACTTCGACATCCAGTGCCACGACGTTCTTGAGCATGGGGATGAGGCGCAAGTAGTCCCGCTTCACCAGGTCTATCCTCCGTACTTCGTGCCGGTTGGTGAAGATTAGCGACGGACTTCTGCCAGCTGCCATGCAGGGAGGTCAAGAGAGAAAGGGTCAGTGCAAGAGGCAGGGAGTCTGGAGACCAAGGCTCTGCCACTGGTTTGCTGGGTGATGCCTCATTTTCCTATTAAAAAGGAGTGACAATTCCTACCTCACAGGTTAGAGGAGCAGATGAACTAATGGGTACAAAAATCATAAGATGCAAAGCACCACACATAACAGGAGGATTTTTATTCTTCTTCTTAGACACAAAGTCCCTCAAAATCTTTTATGATTCTCCATTTCTTCCGTGGGCTTGCACTGAAGGCCTTCTGCAGTGTGACCCCAAGCTCGCCATCCTGCCTCATCACTCACCCCTCCTAACACACCTTGATTCCAGCCACCAGACTGCCTGTCATTACATAGCCACAGCAGAGCTTTGCTGCCTCGGGGCCTTTGCTCAAGTCATCCCCTCTATCTAGAATGCATTTCTCCCCAGCAACTAACACCTCCTCTGCTTAGGGCCCCACTGCAATGTTCAAGAAGGGGCAAACGTGAGCATTAAGTATTTTAGAAAGATGAATGAGGCTGCAGTGCAGAGAACAGACATCAGGGCTAGGGGTGAGACTCGAGGGAGGAGATTTAAGGAGGTCGTTGTGAGTCCTTAGTTTATACAGAGAGAGTATTTGGGGACATGGCAAGAGATGAAGCTGCAGAGGCTGGCAGGGCCAGATCACAAAGGGTCTGTGAGCTAGGTGAAGAGTCTGCACTTTATTCTGAGCCACTAGCTGGGGTAGGATGTGTGTAATATATGACAGATTATATACATGTAATGGAGACAACACACAACTGCCTATGTATACACAAACTCATTTTCAGACTTAGGATTAGATTTTAGAAAGATCATCAGCGACCCAGACATTCCTGGCTGCTCCATAGGGAGGGTCACTGTCCCACAGGCCTAGGAGGGCACCCAGCACAGGTGCCACTCCCCCAGCCTGTTCTCAGATGTATCGGGCTACTCTCAAGCACCAACACTGAGGGGCAACACCTGTCCCTGGAGCTACCTATGCCTTCTCCCCATCTTGTTTTCCAGCTGACACTTCTGCAGGCCACCTGGTCCCTGTCACTGTGCTTCTGTGCCAGGCTAATGTGTTCCCCGGGGCAGGGTGGGATCAGCACAGAGCCATGTGGGGCCCCGGGTGGGGGCTATGACCCGTGTGTAGTGATGGAGACTATTTCCAAGCAGGGTGAGGGTGAGAGCAAGGGCGTGGTACAACAGAGAGCACAGGAAAATAGGGCTCCCAGTACAGGAAGGAGACAGGAGGAGCGCTGGGTTCAGGGCCCAGCTCTGCCACTGACAAACTGACTTTCCTCATCCCAAAATGAGAGCGATGACACACTTGGTCTTCCTCAAGGCAGGAGCTGGGTCACAGGGTATCTTGTGGTGATTTTTACTGAGAGCTGTGACTATGACAGGAACCCTGTGTGTTTATGGTTTGAATTCTCGTGTAACTGCACTTCAGATATTCATCTGTGGGGGTTTTGTGTATACATGAGCAGTTGTGTGTTGTCTCCACTGCATGTATATAATCCGTGTTGTATATCACGTGTCCCAAGTGGTGGTAAACACAGGTTGCATGTTACATGTGATGTGCTAATATATGTGTTATACAGTTTGGGTGGTATGTTTTTGGGTATATGGGCTACATGTCAATTACTGCGCCTGCTGTCTTGTTATAATCTATGCATTGTGTATTGTGTTGTACATCTGAACTCCAGACTCATATATCCAACTGCCTATTCAGTACTTCCACTTAGATGTCTGAACAGTTTTCTTAAACTTATCATGTCCAAATCAGTGTAATATTCCCCCAAACCTGCTTTTCTCACCATTTTTCCCAAGTCCATAAATAGCAATGGTATTTTTCTAATTGCTTGGCCAAAAACCTTGGAGTCATCTTGGACTCCTTGTTTTCTCTCACATCCCACATTCAATTCATACAAATCCTGTTGCTTGAAAATAAATCCTGATCTTCCAAATATATCCAGTCTGTCCGCTTCTCATTATTCCTACTGCAACACCCTGGTCCAAGCCACCATCGCCTGCCTCTCTTCTGGATTATAGTCATGTGATGGGATATGTTCTGAGAAATGCGTCGTTAGGCGATTTCATTGTTGTGCGAACACCATAGAGTGTACTTACACAAACCTAGATGGTGTAGCCTACTACACACCCAGGCTATATGGTACTAATCTTATGGGGCCACCGTCAAATATGTGGTCCGTCATATATGTGTTTCGTTGACTGAAGCATCATTATGTGGCACGTGACTGTCTTGCAAAAACCTCTTAAATGGTTTCCCTGCTTCCTCCCTTGTCCCCTAGTCTATTTTCAACACAGCAACCAGAGAGAGCCTGTTAAAATGTAAGGCACACCATGTCCCTCCTCTACTCAAAACTCTCAAAGGCTCCCCCCTGACTTAGAGTAAAATCGGAAGTCAGCCCTTATAATGGTCTAGAAGGCCTTTGAGTCACCTCTCTGACTTCATCTCCTCCTATTCTTCTTGCTCCAGTGGCACTGGCTTCCTCGTTGTTATCTGAATACACCAGGCATGCTCCTGCCTTAGGGTCTCTGCACTTTCTGTTCCTTCGGCCTGAAATGCAGTTCCTGTACATAAGTGCATGGCTCACTCCTTTACCTCCTTCAGGTCTTTACTCAAATGTCAGTGAGGGGTTCCTTGACCACTCCATCTAAAACTGTGACCCACTGCCCTCCTGGATCTCCCTGTCCCCTTCCTTACTTTACGTTTCTCCTGAACCCTTATCACCATCTGCCATGCCCTGTATTTGATCTATTTATCTGATTTCTTGTTTGTCTCACCCCCGAGGATGTAAGTCCCATGAGGGCAGACAGGGATTTTGCTTACTGCTGAATCCCCAGTGTCTACAACGTTAGGTGCTCAGTATAAAGAATTGAATAAAATGAGAGTTCAGTTGGCTGAACTGATCAATGAATAGGTCTGCACGTGTCATGCTGTGTGTGTGGGCTGCCCAGGCTGTGTAGTCCAGTTTGTGTCTATACGTTGGGTCCTGTGCGAGTGCAATCTCTGTGGGCTGACTGGGTGGCTCTCTGCAGTGTCTGTGTGGGTGTTAGTGTGCAGTGCATTGTGCGTATAACATATATTTGCACTCTGAGCACAGTGTCTGCCCACGCATGCATGCACGCACATCCGCTCCTCACATATGTGGAAACGTGCTGCTTTCTGTACCCCCTCAGAGCTGCCTGCCTGCCCCCCCACCTTCGCATGTCCATACCGACAGCCTTGCAGTTCTTGGTCAGTGTGTCCATCTCGTAGCCAGGGTGGCACTCGCACTTAAAGTAGCCTTTGTAGTTGACACAGATCTGGCTGCAGGCGTCTGGGTCCTCACACTCGTCAATGTCTGTGGGGAGAAGGAGAGGTCAGAACTGGCAGGAGGATCTGCCTCTGCTTGAGGGGGTGAGGGGAGGGTCTCACCGCCACAGGTCTTCTGGTCCAAGAGCCGGTAGCCTGCTGGGCATGTGCACTCAAAGCCAATCTTGAGGTCGGAGCAGATGTGGGAGCAGCCACCATTGTTGTGCAGACACTCGTTCAGCCCTGGGGAGGGACGTGGGCTCCTGAGGGTCCAAGAGCCCAGACTGGGGTGGAGGCAGGGCAGGGGTGGGGCCTAGAGCTGCAGCAGACTCAGGGCAGCAGAACTGCCACGGAGCCAGTGTGCTCTGCAACCTCATCAAGCCTCAGGCTCATTAACCAGGTGACTGGGCGAGAGGAGGTGCAGAGAGGGGCAGATCCTGGCTCAAGGCCAGACACACAGACAGGGACAGAGTGGAACCAGAACTCAGGTCCTCTGCCTCTCAGGCCAGGGCTCTGTCCACCACCAGGCTGGAGGCAGCTAGGCTAACTAAGGTCTTTCCTTTCACAAACACGTTTCTTACAGCTCCTCATTCCTCGTGACCTTAGAGTTCAAGGGGCCTGCGTGTACCATGTTCAACCCTCAGGATACCCCAAGAATCCTTCTGAAATGCCCTTACTTGAACATCTCCAGCCTCAGGGAGCCCACTTCCCTCCTGAGGCAGCTAGTTACCCCTGGAACAGCACTGCCTGTTATAAAGTTCTTCCTCACAGGATCGGCCACCCTTTAGCTTCTGCCCCCACTCCCAGCTCTGCTGTGTGGGGTTAGCCACAGTCCAATGGCTCCCTCAGAACCTCCTAAAAGCACTGATTTCTGGTCCCCTGCCATTCAGGTGGCTTTCTCTGGATACACTCCATCTGTCCATGTCCCTCTCTGGACAGGGCCCAGAGCTAGTCTGCCACCCAGAAGGGGTCTGAACAACAAAGGTTGGCCCCTGTTGAGCTTTTGGTTATCTGCGACTCCCAGGCCCTTTTCTACACAGAGCTATTGCTGAGTCAATTCTCTTCTACCACAAACTAATATGATGGATTTTTTTTCACTTCCTCTGCTCTTAGCACCTATCTCTATTCCTATACTTAGTCACGGGCCTGGTCCTGGGATTACCAACTGCTACAAGGGATGAAGGGACGCCAGGAGGACATCTGCTTCCCCCGACCTACACTCCCCCCACCTTCTGGCAGGGTCCTAGGGGAGGTCAGGGAGGCTAGGACCAAGGCTCACCCAGTTCTCACAGCATCTTCTGAGCTTTAGAATCACAGAGGGTTAATTCTGCAAGCCAAGGGAAGGTGCCATGCCACCCCTCTGCCCACCAGGCTCATGCACCACCACTCCAGCCAAGCCAAGCAGAGCTGAGCTGAGCCAGCCATGGCCATGAACACAGCTGGTCTGAGCTGCCCACCCCAGGCCATGCACAGCTGTGGGTGCCCCACCTCCAGCCTGAGCCATGCTTAGGGAATGTCCCCCTTTACCCCTGGGCCTCCTCCTGTTTCCCCAGGACGTTGGCGGAACTGAAAGAACAAGACCACAGCAACCTCATGACTGAGGGGCCGGGGGTGACTCAGCCAGGCCCAGCCCTGGGAAGCCCCAGCCTCTCAGGGTAGGCTGAGCCATGAACTTTGGGGTGGTCTCTGTGGGGTGCCACCTCCAGGAATCTGTCACTCCAGCCTTTCTTGACCACTCCCACACCATATTATTCCCCTAGCGCCATCCATTCATTTGTTCGCCGACTCACTCACTGTCTCATTCATGCATCTACCCACTTCCTCCCTCTCCTTTTGCAGGTAGCAGCAACTCAACAACTGTATTTACTGAGCACTTGATGGACTGGCATGTGTAGGATGGCTCTGAAAGGGGAAAGGAGAGAGCTCAAGGTGATTCAGTTGTCTATGAAAGAGGAAGGCACAGAGTCCTCCAGGGCTGAAGTAGGTTGGGGCTAGAGAATGGGTAATGGGTCTGGACCTGTCCATCTGTGTCCCCTTCCCTGGAAGGCCAGCACCAAGGCAGAGGCTGAAAGGGATTCTCTGGGCCTTCCCAAGTCTATCTAGCCAGGAAGTGATTCTGCTGGGAGGCCTGCAGGGGAGGAGAGGGGCAGTGCTCCAGAGAGGTCCACCATGGAAGGAAGGGGCAGTGTCACTTTCCCCAGCACGTGCATACACCTGCATGCGCACACCTGCATGCATAAACACACACGCGCATACACACACACACACACACACACACACACACAAGCTTACGTGCAGAGGCGCAGACAGGCCCATGCACTCCACATTCTCAGACGGGGGAACACACACAGAGACAGACATGTGATGCAGTTCCCTTGCTTTACTCAGAGAAGGAGTCATGGATACAGATACTGACCTCTCACCAGCACAGAGACACAAACGCATGCGTACCTACTTCTCTTTGGTGTGTCATGCAAAAGACAAGAGAGAAGAGAGTCTAGTCGGTTAGTAGTCCCTGGCTAGCTCCAAAGCTGGGTGGAGCAGGGGTCTAGGCTCAGTTCTCCTGCTTCCCTATCCTCCTTTCCATAGGTTCCTTCTTCTGGGACTTTTCTGGGCAGGGCTTCTAAGGGGGTAGTGGGGAGTCTGTCTCCTACAAGCTCAGATGGAGGCTGAGTGACCTTCGCCCAGCTACTCTTCCTTCAAAATCAATTTTTAAATCTTCAAAAGGGGCAGAAACATTCTGTTCTTGGGGGGCTCCAGAGAATGAAGCTCCTCTGAGTGCCCAAGAGGGGAGGTACTGGGTGAATGGGTCTGCCAGGAAGGTAGGCTCTGTCTTACCAGGAATTCTCTGGCCAAACCCCTGACCTCAGAAGTGAACCTTCCTGGAGCCCTTACTGGGTTTCCAGCATGTTCTCTGGGATGCCCACCACACCTACAGCCCAGACTCTCCCGTTCTTTTTACCTTGGAACCTACCCTGACAGCTCTAGCCATGAGGACAGCCACCTCATTCTGCTCCTCACTCATGTCCAGCATGTAAGTGTGGTCTCTCAGAAAGTCCAAGCTCCTCAGGGCTCAGGATGGTGCCCCCTTCTGCTGCTGGGTCTGCACTGCTCTTACCCAGGCCTGGCCTGAGCTAGGTGGCCTTGAGATGTGCCTTAATTGGCCAACTGCCTACTGTCCCACCTCTCCCTCTGCAGGAACTCCTGCAGGGGGCTGGAAGTCCTCACAGGCCAGGGCAGAAACACTGAGGAAGAGAGGACATTTTAGACTACTGAATGTAGAAGGACTGAGGAGGAGAGGCCGGGTTTGTGAGAGGAAACATGATTTTTGAGCACCTGGGGTGGAAAGGAAAAGCCCTTAGATTTGTAGAGATGCAGAACAAGAGGCCCCAAAGGCAGAGAGCCCTGCCTGAGGCCACAGGACAGCGCATGAGTCCAGAGAGAGGGTCAGAGGAGAAAATATGCAGAGGGGAGGCGGGGGCCTTGGCCCAGATGCCAGGAGGCGGCGTGGCAGGGAGGGTTAGTCCAGCAGTAGACAGGTTCTGTAGACAGGTACTGTACCACACTCTTTCAGAGGCTCATCCGACCAGTCCCGGCAGTCCCTCTGAGCATCACACACTTTCCCGCCGTCCACACACTCGCCACTCTTACACTGAAATCTGCGCGGACCCTCACATGTTGACTCTGTCGGGCCAGACAAAAGAGTGGACAGCACCTGTGAGGCCTTGGGCAGGGAGGGCTGGGCTGGGCCGGGCCCATGAGAGGCAAGCAGAGTCCCAGCCCCAGTCCCCACTGGTCTCTAGAGGGTGGCCCAGGACAGACCGCTGAATACAGGGTTGATGAGAGCTCTGCTCACAGGACAGGACCCTAGGGATAATCAGGAACCCAAGCATCAACTAGCTTGGCAGGGCCAGGGGTCTGCATCTGATCTGGCAGTCCTGGGGCCCTGGGAGGAAAAAGCAGCAGCTCTACAGAGATCCTGGGGACTGGACTGAGCTTCTGAGGGGGACCTTTGCCCCAGAGGCCCTGGATAGGGGACGCTGCCTTACTGCCCAACCCTTTATCCATTTCCACAGATGACCAGTAGGTCAGGGTCCCTGCTCCTACAGGGGGTGAGTGATGACCAGAGAGCCATCTGAGAATTAAGGGGGCTCCCTGGGGAACAGGACCCTGCCTCTGCTCAGACTGGGAACTAGTGGGAGACCTGCTTGGAGGCTTGGACGTGGACAAATGGTGGGGGCTGGACTTCCTGCAGTGCCCGTTCGTGTCTCCCTGGGGGGGGACATGACCCCCTTTCAGCTTTTGCAAAGTCCTTAAAAATCTAGTTCTGGTGCCACTAGGACCCCAGGGAGGGGATCCGGGTGATTTAGGGGCAGGTGATGCTCTGCGGGAAGATGCATCTCAGGGACCAAGGGGAGACCTCTCCCAGCTCTGCTCTCTGAGCCAGGGGAGAGCTCAGGGCTTTTCCTCACGGAGGATGCTGCCCCTTGCCTCCACACGCACCCTGCAGGCAGCCAGCTTCGTCACTGCCGTCTGGACAGTCCTGTTCCTGGTTGCAGAGCTTGACTGCAGGGACACAAGTCCCATCCCCACACTGGAACTCGTCCCCACGGCAGGTCCCCAGCGCTGCCAAGAGAGGGCAAGAGGAGAGAGTCAGAGCCACTGGGGTATCGGGACAGCTGTCCTCCCCCCACCCCATATCCACCCCTGGCAAGATCAGAACCAGTGGCTGAGCTTGGGAGTCCTCAAGGACACCTGGCCGAGGCACTTCCAGTATACAGATGGGGAGACTGAAGCTCAGAGAGAGGCAAGGCCTCACCCAGGGTCACACAGCACTCTGGCTGGCAGAGCCAGGACTAAAACTCAGGTCTCCTGTTTCTCCTCCACCGCCTCTCCCCAGAGCCACCCCCCCAGGGCAGACACCTGGCCTTCTTTTGAGTTTCGTGTTCATTACTTAATGACTTCATCCCTTCAGCAAACCCTTCCTGGGTACCCACTGCGTTTGGGGGCACTGTGCTGGAGTGGGGAACCCAGAGACTGCTAGGAGCCTCCTCACCCTCTAGGAGCTCAGGGTGCAGAGGGGAGCTGAGGAATGAACAGCTGAGGACCGCACAGTGGGAGATGAGCTGTAAGAGAGGGTGTCTCAGGCACCTGCGGTGGCCCAGGGGAGACACCCAGCCCAGCTGGGAAGGTGGGAGGAGTCTGGGCCAGGCCTTAAAGGACAGCAGGCCCAGCGGGTAGGGAGGGTTGGGGGCGTTACCCAGGTCTCCAGGCACTGGAACCAGTGGGGGACTGCCTGGGACGGAGAAAGGCAGCAGTGGGAAGTATGACAGGGAGGCCATCACCAAAGGACACAGGTACCCGTGAAGACCCTTGGCCTCTGGAGTTAGACCTGAGCTCCGCAGCTCAGGAGCCAAGTGACCTGAGCCACGTCACTTCACTTTTCCCAGGCTCACTCTCCTCCGCAGGCGAGTTAGGAGGCCGCGCCTGGTGGACGGGTGCCAGGCCGAGCGGCGGGGCCGCGCGATACGGGGCGGCGGGGGCTTACGGCAGTCGGCCTCGTCCGACTTGTCCTTGCAGTCGCGGTCGCCGTCGCAGCGCCAGCCCAGGTGCACGCACTCGCCGCTGCGGCAGG